ATTCCACAAGAAAATGTCATCATGTATAAATGTCTAATCTAGCTGCTATTCGTCAAATTACTGATATATCTAGCCTCACAGTGCTCCAAATATATGCAAAATCTTCCATGAAATCCAATAAGTTAAAAATTTCAAATATAAATATATATATAACTCAAATTTAGTACTTACAAAAATCAGAGGCAAAAATAACAAAAATAATGTTCTAAAGCATGCCCATTACTCCCCAGAACGGAAAATCTAAACAAATAGAGCGTATTTTTTATACAATGATTCAAGAGGTTAATTCATGGTAAACAAAAAAAAATTTAGGTAAAGTTTTTGAATCCGTACGTAAATCACTCATTTATTTTAGGGCCTAAAATTTCACAGGTCGATAATCTCGACCTCTCCCATCTAAAATCATAACAATAGACTTCTATTTTTGGAACATGCGAGTAACTCCTCGTAGATCATTGATTTTCAAAATAAAAAAGCTGTTCGTAGATCATCAATCTACAATACTTTTTTAGTGACAAAATTATGGATGTAAAGTGGACATATATCTCAACAAATGTGCTTCAAATCCTAAACATAATTTTTTTTTGAATTTTAGAAGGGGACCGCATTTGAATACTACCCATTGCTGGAAATTCGCATGGTCTAACATGTAACTGCCCGGTTGGATTTTCCGGTTCCTGTTTGGCTGGTATTGATGACTGAACATATATTTTAAATATTTTTAATAAATTTATATAAAATCTCAAAAAATAAGGGATTTTGTTTGTAATGTATTTTTAACATCTTTCATGATTATAGCAAAACTTAGGAATTAGTTTGGCCATTAACATTTAGTTTTACATTTTCCCATCGTTTTTAGAAAATTAAAAAAATACCTGTGGACATAAATCGTTTTTAAAATTCATTTTTTGCTTTGTTTAATCATTCTTTAAATGTACTTTTTTATATTTTAGTATATTTATTTTATATTTTATTTTTTTTTACCTGCCAAAACGTGCCTTAGAGCAGTTGAACCGATCAGTTTACTGATTAAGCAGGTTGAACCGCTTCGAGGGCCATTCCCGGGTTGATTTTTCCAAATAGCTCATTTAAACCTTTTGCGAATAGGCTTACGCCCGGTTCTTTTGTTGTCTCGTTACATGGCAACTCAACGTGTTTGGTCTTTTTCTCTTAGAATTTGTGATCTTTTTAACGCAACGTGTGTGGTCTTTTTCTCTTAGAATTTGTCTTTTGTTCTACCCTGCCCCAATCTACTTTCTTAGGTTTTGGTACAAGTCATTGTCCAACCATAATATACTCACCTATACTTTATCAATGTCTTCTTCACTAATGCCACGTCATGTATATCCCAAAACCAAACAATGTGACGCGTGTGGTTTAAGTGCAATGTAAACGTGTAAACAAATTCGTCAATCCCGATCACGGCTGGCAATAGCCCGACCAGAGAGCCCTCGTCGACCCGGTCTAAAAAAGTAGGACATAAACCACAAACTGAGGCTTGATGGCTGATATAGGGCCAACACTGGCCCGGTTCGCCGCCCTATTTTTTACCTTTTTTTCTTCATTTATTTTCTGCTCGGCCCTGGCTTTGGCCCAGCCTTAGCCCTAGCCCTAGCCCTGTAGGGCTGGGCCAAACTCCGGCCATGACAAGGGCTATGCCAAGGCTAGGCCTGGCCATGTCTAGGCCAGGACCATTGCCATTACGAGCTTTTATATCCTCCAATCTTCAATAGAGTGCTATGAGCATGGCTCACCATCTTGACTGTCGCCTATTCCCATGGATGGTCCAGTTAAGAAGCATGGTCTCACACAATGCTATAAATTGAAGCTCTGCCCGATGGTTTGACAGGTATAAGAATACGTTGGCGAGGGCAAAACCACTCATTTGTACGAGGAAAATGAAGTGTGCGTCAGGGGATGCAATTCTACAAGTGCGTTCCCGTGACGCACCTAAAATCTTTCTAATAAAAAACTGGTGGTCCCACCAAAACCCATAAATCAACCATCCAAAAAATTGAATAACAATATTTTTTTTTCTTTTAAATTAACACTTTGTTATGTTCATATTCAACATGGGATAGATTTTTAATCCATAAAATTTTAATCCAAAATCCATATCTAAGATGAATTTTAGAGGGAGGACTCACATGAATATATGAATCTGCTGATGCATAGAAACCTTGTCCTTTATACAAATAAAAGCTAGCATTTTGAGTTTGATATAGCTTTCTAGCACTTCTTCAGCTGTACGATGCCAAGAGGGGATGGTTGGGTATGTGAATCTTCTGCTCAAAATCTACCAAAAGTAAAGTGGTGAGCGCCGGAACAATCTGCTGTTTACCTTTGAGAATTTTCGACGAGCTAACAAAGTATCTAAAAACTAAATGTTTGTACACAATATAGGGAAAATTGCATAATACCCTCCTACTTGGACTTTCTAGACAACTTTTTTTCAACCAAATTTATTTTCTCAACTATTATCTCAAAAAAATACTTTTCTAACAGATACTCCCCAAATAAAAAAAGTAAAAAAGACCTAAATGCCCTTCCCTTAGTTAAAATGCCTCTGTCTTCCGCAATGAGGTTCTAAAAAAACAATGGATCTGGCACTTTATAAAAGCAGTCTGACGCTAATTGTTTATGGAAAACTAAGGGTCCGGCAATTCTTAAACATAGTCTAGCAATAGGGGTTTTGGAAAAATATTGGGTCCAACATATTATATATGCGGTCTCGCACATTTCTTTTCTCACATATTTCATGTCTGGCAAATGCTAAAGGAGGGCCGGAATGTATTATATTGGTCAGGTATATCCTTTCGCCGTCCAACAGGTCAACGTGATTTGCCTGCGGTCTAGCACACGGACCACAGGGTCTGACAATATTGGCCTAAGGTTGTCTTCACACAGGCCCGATACTTTTTTCTCTCAGTCCAGCACTATATTCGTGAGTCCACACCATGTCTGGCCCAACATAATTTTTTCTGTGGGAAGGGTTATTTTTATAAAAAAATATACTTTTTTGACTTGGTGGATTTTTACTATACAGTTCACTTTAAGATAAAAAAGTTTCACTTTTTATTTATTTATTTATTTTTTTTAATGATCGGATGTTATGTTGAGGCAATGGTTCTACTTTCTTCTACTACAATGTGATTTACCTTTCATTTTGTAGTTTTACCCCATTATTATTTGTCATTTACACTTAGATGGAGAAGACATCGAATCAATGTAGAGACAAAATATGTCACGTTGATTGCTAGTGATAAATAACACGCGTCGTTTCACAATCAACGTAGTAATTGCCCTACCTAAAAAGTCCTCTCACTTGTTTTACCCCAATTTCCCTTACTGAAGTAGGTACTACCAATAAAGAAAGGAGACTTTACCTCTATTTCCTTCCCTAAAGCACTGTTAGAGACAAGGAAGGTAATTAAGTTCTCGTCGCTAGCCGACACCAACGACGCCCATTCTTCCAATTTTGTTTCTTTCTTTTGCTAGCAAACAAATAAAAGAAAAAGAAGAAAAGGATAACCTCCTCCTTCCAATTTTGTTTCCTTCAAGGCTTGAATTGCTTGAAACCTCAAGGATGTGAGAGGTCCGTTTTAGATGAATGGGTTAACTCTCAAAAAAAAAAAAAATCATTCTTTTTTACTAAAAAAAAGAAAAAAAAAAAACTAACTTTTTTGAAAAAACATTCATTCCTTTTTTACTAAAATAAATAAATAATAATAATAATTTATTTGAAAACCTCATTCATACCCAATCTTTTAAACTATTTATAATTTTTTTTATGGGGGATGACAAGCCTCTACCCGTTTTATTAATAAACAAAAAAAGGATTTTACATATACATTCATTTTTACACACCTTGAAAGGGAATACAACCAACATCTAGTAGAAGAAAAGGAGATTGAAAATTAGAGTCCAAGTACGCCTCAATGTTGCTTCATCCCATGGAAGCTGCCCTCTTAGCCGGCTAACATGTGTGCCTCCTTAAAAGTATAAAGGATATGCTACTTATGACCTGTGAAGGATGTGGGCTTGGCTTTGCAATTGGCCGAAACTATGGGTAGTTTTCATGGAGGCTTACATCTCCGACTCAATGATTTAACAAGATGATCTGAGTCACTCTCAATGATCAGGGGTACGCAATGAAGTTCCCTTGTCAGGGAGATTTCCAATCCAATGCCTTGAATTCAGTAGCATTATTAGAGTTGTTACCTAGAGAGGTTGCAAAAGCCACAATGAAACCACCTACATCATTATGTATAATTCCATCATAGCCAGCCACACCAGGATATCACAGGGATGAGCCATCTACGTTGAGCTTGAAATGAATGCGTAGATTGCCCTCCTTCCATAGACACCAAATTGAAATTGAGAAGATAGAAAACTAAACTACCTCGTACCTGTGGATTTGAGAAGACAGAAAACCAAACTACCTCATACCTCTGGATTTGAATCTGTATTCAATCCACTTAGTCATCGCAATGTGCTCTACCATGAATCTTTTGCCAAATCTCAAAAGAATAAATCTCCTGAGAACCTGCGAAGGGAATGTTGTGCTAGGTTTCGCAGTGGGGAAGAGGTTTTTACTTGCGGACCTCAAATCTTCCCATTTAACTCGAACGAGTGAAAAATTTTTGGCTCCGTGCGGGGATTCAGTTATTCAAAAGAGCTTGGATTGGGTTATTCCACCACTTCAGGTTGAATACGTTTATCCACATTTTTTACGGCAAAATGTGGAGAAATGGCTCCGTGGGACTCTCCAGTCCGCGCACATTTTTGCTTCTTAAACATGGGAGACAAGACGAAAACTTGGATAAGCTTCTCTCGGAAAGTGGAATCCAGGTTGCCCAACGGGCCCTTTAAACTTATTCTAACAATCATATGATGGATTTTCCTCATCAGTGCAAGAAAATTTTAGAAAAAGGAAATATGACATTTTTTAGCAGAATCTCTCTCTCTCTATCTCTCACATATGTTGAAGAGTAAGTCCATACACAACAATAACATGTCGCATTCGGCTGACGAAGCAGTACATGAACAAGGAAATCAAAAGCTAGAAGGAAATGTTAGGCAAACCAAAAACAAGGACCCATCTTTAACACCTACACAAAAGACGAGGTTCGTGCCAGTAGTTTCAAATTTCTATACAACACAAAAAAAGGGCAAGGATAAGATGAATTTATGCCCTTAGCACACAGAATCTTTAAAGTTGAAGTACATCTCCCTCTCTATTCCTTTGCTCCAATGGCCAGTAAGCCCACCACGCCTATCAAAATGTACTGCTTGCACATGTTTTAGCAACAAACACAAGGCTCAGCTGCAAATGTTTATATGCACTTAGAACTTCCAAACCCCTAGAAGCATACAGTTCTTAATTAAATTCCTGACTGTGCTAGTGTACCAGAGCCTTTGTTTGTGCCCAAATACTCTCTAGACTTCTTATATTGGATCTTCTTGTGAGAAACTTTCACAAAGATTCCCCTGATATTTCATTCATAGAAAAGAAAGAAGGAAACTATGATGAGATATTATTTTCCCGAATAATAAATCCACTGAGACATGTACTATCTCCAATCACCAACATTACTCTTCTTGAAAATGGAGCATTGGAGTCGTCCTGACTTACAATCTGAAATGTGTATCACCACTAAAGTCAATCGCAATCGAAATTTTGCTGAGAGTCAACAAAACCTCCAGTTATCCAGAGTTCGCCCTATTGCTATAGGAACATCAGGTTGAGATGATTCAGTTGGAACTTCTTAAGAGTCAAGTATATCAAAAAGAAGAAAACAAAGAAGTTTATTAACTTCCCCATTTCCATGAACTAGAAGCAACCTCATTTTCAAATAGAGAAGGCAACAATGGAATCTTTATAAAAATTAAATGGAGGCACGTCAATGTTGATAACATAGTCTATCATTCTGCTAAGCAAAACCTAATTAAAGCATTACACTAGACGCAAACCTTGATTACAGGCTTTTCAGTCATGATGATAGTAAACGAGCCAACATAAGGCAAGAACCTGAAAAACGCATAACATGACCACTTGTTTGTATTATTTGGGATTCCATATAGCAAGAAAAAAGAAATCATCAGTTGATTAACATTGACATGATTAAGTGCATGGTCATGCTCATCTGTAATTGAAGCTCAGAACTTGAAAAGCCTTACCCCACAGCCCTTCCCATGATATGACGCTCCTGAAGCCAAAGCTGGTCATGATAATACGCAATCCTGTCTCGTCCACGTGCAGCCAGGTCACAATCACCGAATTGCAATGCTCAACTATATTTGTAAGCTCTGAATATCAAACTCACCCAACATCCCCCCCCCCCCCCTCCCGTTAGAATGTTTTTGGATTGAGAACCACGAGCATACAAAGGGGTATCGTCTATGGGATTATTATCTCCTGAAATAGAGAGGGCAATAATAAAGTATATGAACATGTAAAATGCCAGATATGCTATAATTTTATAACCCCAAAGAAGTAAGATCATGCCAATACAAGACTTGTGTATTCATCAGGAAGAGGGACATATAGGGGTGATAATGGGCCTGGTGGGCCGGCCTGGCCCTAAAAAACAAGGGTTTGGGCCTCAAGAGTGGTCCGAGGGCCAGGCTAGGGCGGGGCCACCATGGCTTGAGGGCAGGGCCCAGCCTGGTTCGGCCCGGTCTGGCTCTTTTTTCCTTTTCTTTCTGTCTTCATTTTTTACTGGATTATTTTTGGCCCGGCCTGGCATGGACAAGGCTAGAATTTGATCAAAGCCAGGGTTCTTCGGCCGGGTCAGCCTGCCCTGCAGGGACTAGGGCCAAGGCTAGTCTGGCCCAGGCTTGAGCCATTGCCAGCCCTATGGACATGTTCAACATAATACCATCTTGATTGAGGCTTGCAACAGTCATTACCTTTTTGTTAGAACATCAAGCTTGGCAGTGTCTTTCCGTTCATGAACCTGCAATGGAAAAAGTAAGGAGCACTAGATTAGAATAGTACAGTAGTAACATGCAGGAATAGATTCATTTCCCAAAAGAGCAGAGAGTGACATTGAAAGCCCAATCCTTTTAGATAGTGTACTAGAATATTTACTGAATCATTCATCTTCATAACGGAGCCATATTCTCTTTACATATCTGGGTGCAGGTGGTGATGGAAGCTTGGAATACGAATTTTCAATTGCCCTACCAATATTTTTACATGCATGGAGTTAATAGAAGGTTGGGTTTTACTTTTATCACAAGCCCAAACCAAAAGCCATCAGACTCCATATAATCAGCCCTACCATTGACTTAGACCAGTCGATGAATCCTCTATCAGAGAACCCTACTATTGAACCTAACCAGTAGCAACACATTTTTAAAGATCTGAGTAGAACCCACTCCCATTGTTATCATGTCATCTACAAGAAAATACAATGCACCTGACATGTTTCAACTGCAATCCAAGAAGACATACATGGGTTGAAGAAAAAAAAAAAGGTGCACAAATCACATAGCAATCGACAGTTCAACTGGTCTAGATGGTCACTTTCCAACAAAGCATATCGAATTGAAACATGCAACTATTCTGCTCATGAATGGTGAAACTGGGGTTCACTGCCAAGAAAACCTATTGCTGCCAAAGAACACACAATGTTCAGAGGGGTATGGAACCAGCAAGTTATGAATGGGAAAGAAGCTGAAGATGAGAAAGTCTCATGTTCTGTAGTCTCATACCTGAATGTAGAAATTCCATGCTCTCAATCACTTTATGGTTCAAGGGAAATGGTTTGAGCACCTTCCAGAAATCGTTTATTGATAAATAAGCCCCTTCTAGTATTAAACACCAAATGAACATTAAATCTTGGACGAAAAACAATTCGACATGAAATATCCTACAACAGCAGACTGGGCACCAGCTGGGGTAGGTTTACTTGATATCCAGAAACTGCCCAGTGGGAGTCGGACAAGTAGGTAGTATTGGGCTTGAATCCAAAAAGTTTGGGTATAGCTGGATCTAAATGCCGGCTAAGTAAGCATCCTATAGTAAGAGTAATAGTTAATAAACCATGTAAACAATGCCTATACTTCATGACAGGCAAACTAGGTGAAGGCATGCGGTTGGTGAAATCCCCATGCTTCCCGGGGTAGCTTGTTAAAGTTCAGCATGGCATGTAACTCGAAAACACTAGGCTCCTAAGAATCCTCGTGTCAGATTGCTGTATTTTAAATCATATTTTGATTAAACCCCCAACACAAGATAATGTTCACCAGAATCGACTAATCACTTCCTTTACTACAGTGTAGTTTAGAATAATAACTAAAGACTGTAAAGTCTCTCCAGTGCCTCCTTTGTTGCCACTAAGGCCCACTAGAGTAAGCAAGGGTGACTTTCTTGGATTCTTAAAGAAAATTTTTGAGTCTAACAAGCAAGAGAGACAGAGAAAGAGAGAGAGAGTCTAAAAAGCAATGCTTCCTGAAACTTCAAAATAGAAGAGAGATTTTACTCCTACTAAAAAGCAATCAGAGGACCCCACCACAAATTGCTTTCATCCACTCGAAAGGACTTGGTGGAGGAACAAGGCCAGATACAAACCCAATAGCAGATGGAACTCCACAAAACCCTGTTATATAGCTCATCTTCTTTGCTGAAACTGTATAAATAACAATAAAAATGTAGTAGCTCTTGGATTTCTTCTTTCTCAACCCAAAATCTAGATTGATCTCTCTAAGAATCCTCAGTCACTTTTATCTGAAGACCCTCAGTTTTTTTTGTCCCTTCTCAGAACTTCATTTTGCAGTTTATCTCACAATGAAAACCTTTTCTCTTTTTGAGCGCGTTTAGGATGGGTGCATATTGTCCATATACTCCGTCGAGCAAAAAACATATTCAGAAGTCTCTTTTGAATCTGAACTTTAGGGAACTACCTAAGAATCACTAGATGATTATTTTCAAAGAGAAAATTAGAAATTTAAGTTTTCTAACACTTAGATCTCCCCCTCAAAAAATTGGCGGTATCAGTTCAATCTTTCGACATTATTTTTCTCTCAAGTGTGTAGAGAGTGCGACTTGGAACTTTTCTTGAGTTTAGTCTACAGGTTGACGATGTTACACCCCCAAATTTTGGTATCCTAAAATTTCTCCTAGATTAGATTGTACCTGAGGGAGTAGATAGATAGTATACTCCCGCGGGAGTATGAAATCTTTTGGCTTCCCTTTTCACAGAAGAGCTCAAAAAATATTTCTTAAAGAATCAGATAAATTTTATAAAATCGTCAAACAAGTCCAATACCGTAAAGGAAAACACGGCTTAGGAATGGAACTTGTCCCAGGCAAGTTGAGTGACTAAGGCGAAGTCCAAGTCGATTACCCCAAGTATGTGCTGAGCTGCCCAAAAGGCCAAAACAAAAAACCCAACATAAAGGAAAAGTCCAAAATATGCTAAAAATAGAAAAAAAATAAAAGATATGAACAAGATAAAATTATACAAAAGATGAAAAATGAGAAAATTCAGAAAAAGGGAAAACTTGTTAAGATCATTTTTTTCAGAAAAGTAGAAAAAATCAGAAAATATTAAAAAATAAAAAAATAAATGAATATAAAAATTATAAATAAATTATATTATCTATTATAAATAAATTAAATATATGAATTGAAATTGAGAAGCCCTAATTTTGAGGTTGATCCCCCAATCTTTGCGCTCAGCGATACTTGATACCTCCAGTCATTGTCCAATCTTCTTTAGACAACCCCAATCAAAACTCCTGAACAAGATTTTGGTTTCAAGTTTGAACTTAGGTGATCAAAGCCCCTGAAACATTTTGGATGACTATTAAACCCAAAACAAAAATGTCTCAAATTCTAATTTTTTCGTGCTTTTTTCTGAAGACAAGTCCATGGTTGGATGAAGAACTAAAAAATAGGCTAAGGGAACAAATTTCATCAAAGATTGACCACACCTGGTGAAGAAATCTTAATTTTTCAAAATTCAGCAAAACCTAGGTCAAATTTTCTCTCTCTCAAATTCATTAAGTTTGAAGGTTTTTGCTCAAATCCAATCTACCTAGTCGACAGGTCATACAAAAATGAGTCTACGGGTGAAATTTGGGGTCAAATGGGTGTATTATTGGTAAAAAAAATAAAAAAAAGAGATTTTGTTATACACCCCTGAGTTTGGGAGGTGGTGCGGACTTCGCAGCCCACCAAGTCCAAGTGACTTGGGCGAGTCCAAGTCAACTCTGCCAAGTCGGTGAACATTGGTCCAATTTAATAAATTGAAAAATATTCATAACAATATGAACTTTTACCTTTTAACAAGGAAAATGTTTTAAGTACCTCAAAATATAATGCAAGCATTTGCCTTATATTCTTTAGGAGTAAAATATACCTTTACTTTATATTTCTCAAATAGTGGCCAAATAATCACACAACAAAAAAGATTAACAAAACAAAGTTTTGAGTTTTCCAAAATTCTCTGGACCAATTTTAGAAAATTCTTCCTATACCTAAGTAAACTTATCACCAAAACTATAATTACCTATTTTGACTTAGTTCCTACCAAAACCAAGTTGACTCAGATTGAAACAGTTGACAAGAAAAATTACATATTAGCTCTTCAGTTTTATGATAAATTTGCATAAGAATATAAAGTGATGGTAATGGCATCTGCACCCAGGTTATCACCAATGTTTCTTTTATAAGACTCGGGAACTGGGCAAGTTAGGCTGAACCAGAGAGTATGATCGAGTTGAAAACCAGTTTTTATTCATTGGAATTTTCCCTAATACTGCTTCGAGTGCCATGATTTCCTAGTAAATAGCGAATTTCTTATGCACACTTTTGTGTTTCTAACTTAGTTACTGATGCAGGAAGCAAAGGTAGAAAATGAAATCCACCCTCTTTACGATCCTCCAAAAAGCAAAAATCAACAATAAAAGAGAAATATAGTTGTAAATCAAGCCAAAGAGAAGAACTTTCTTCTTTCATAAAACAAAGTTCAATCCAAATACAATAAGATCTCAAAGAAACGTCCAACCTCTTTTATAAGGCCAATCTCTGAAACAAAAAATAAAATAAAATAAAATAGAACACAAATATCCTCTCTTTCTCTCTACCTCAAGTACATTTCCACCTAGATAAGTCTCCCACTTCTCCTAGCTCCTAGCTTTTAGGAACCCCCTTTAGCACGCCACATGACCGACCCCATCTTGAGAGAAGGAGGGCGGAGGGATGGAATCAAAATAACTAACTAAATCTTAAAGAAAACCTCATGCTAATCCTCACAACCAAGAAAATGAAGACCCTAACCCATAATAGTTAATTAAATTCCCTCTTTCCCCTCTTAAAAAACAATTTCAATCCCCCTACACTGTTCATGCCAAATTGACCGTTAATAAAAATAAATAAAAGTACCCCCACATCTCTATAAATAAGATTAAAAATAAAATTAACATTTGAATCTCCCATCTCTTGATTTGCATCAGTGACAGATGAGAGTAACCGAAAAGCACATGTACCTGCAAACCTTATGATTCTAATAACACCCAACTACCTGCAAATCCACTTCATGAAATTGGAGTGAGCAGCATCACTCAGCCATTGGATTCAGTACAAAGAAACCACTTATGGACAAAGCCTGTTGGTCGTGATTTATACGTCTCTATGATAGTGCTTTTAGAGTAATAATGCTTGGCTTGTATAAGGATATCCCAATATTTAACTACAAAAACATAAGAATAAACATGCTAGAATAATAAACACCCCTCCCACTTCAAACAACACATACTGAATTCCTAATAAAAGTTTAAGAGCATACCTTCACTACACGATGAACAATAGAAATATCTTCTCCCTGAAAAACAAAAAACAAGAAAGAGTGAATCATACTAAACTTTTAGAAATTAATACCACATATCCTTGCAAGTAACCTAAACCATACTCTAGAAAGGACGTGTGTCCAAAAATACATGAGAAAAGAAGGAAAGCTATGACAAAGTATACTACAGATTTGTCACATGGTACAAGAAGGGGATCCAATATTCAAAATTATCCAAAAAGACTGCTTGTGGTGCTCATGATGCTGAACTATTCATTATAGAGGCTGAAAAGCCAAAATTTCGATATGAACAACAATAGTGAGAGCTATATGAACAAATAGTCTAATAAAAACACCAAAGGCTCAAGGTAGTTAGGTGCTGGTCCATGGGGATTTTTCTGGACCAGCAGGCGTTTGTGACGCGACTACTATAGAGGGGATGGGCCTTCTAACTTGTCCAAGGACACTTGTTGGTTCTTTTGACCTTTTGTTAAGAAGGGAGATTCTTTTAATGTTATTAGACGGGCTCAAAAGGGAGAGTGCCTACATGCAGCACATTGCACCTATGATGGATGAGATTTTTATATAAGTGGTTCAACCCAAACCAACCAGAAATGTTATCTTTTTATGATTTCATATTCAAACCAAACCAAAACACATGCCATATATATATATGTTGAAAATATCTTCCACTAAATAGTAAAACAAGAATACACTCTAGACAGAAATGATAGCTCCTTAACTAGCCTGTAATAAGAACTCCCACTGGAAAACTGATAAAAAACTTAAAAGCAGAGTTATGACTTCCACACACCATCTTTTTCCTAGACATAACACAACTCACAGAAAACTGTAGCAACCCTGCTGGATTCCTTCCCTCTAAACCCCAAACTTAGGTCTTTCATTCTATTAAATCCCACGTCCCTATTTCCAAAGAAAGAAAGAAAATTTCTCTCTTGAAGCTCTCATCCTCCCTTTAGTAAATCTAAAAGAAAGAATAGAAGTCCCTAAAGAGTCCTTTATGTACATAATACCTCCCCTTTAAAGTAAACTCCATATGCATCAATTCCCTTAGTCTCTCTTTTAAGGAGAATTAACCTGCCTCATTGAATTCTCTGAGGGTTGTTCAATGCAAGACCCATTTTGAGCAGCTCTATCAACTTCTGCCTAATCTCCTCATTGCACAATGTTAACATCCTCCTCAAAAAATTGTTCAAACATTAAAGAGCATTATGACATAAGGTGCATAGGAAAGATAGTGTCAAGCTTGATTGTGAGCCAAATATACACAGATAGTGGCTCCAAGTGTTACGAAAGGACTAATCCTTTTTAGCTGTTTTCAAAAAGTTGTAACTTCTTGTAAGTTACAAGCCAAAGAGAGGCTAGCCCCTCTGCAAGTAACAAACATGTCCTCCTCGCCCCCTTATATGTTAGAAGAATACCCTTGTAATTCCCTTGCAATCTACAAAAGTAAACGAGGCTTGTTACTCTATTTTTTAAACACACCTTCTTACAAAGACAATGGAATTGTACAATTTGGCTACTCGAACCTCTTTCTTATGTTTGAGATTAGTCTATAGTGAAGTTCACCCAACAATGGTTTTTGTCCTTCATAAATGTTACACTCTTAAAAAATTCCATATAGACCTTTAACTAAAAACTTTCTTACAAATTTTCAAAAAAGTCCTTTATTTCAAAATATCACATTTTTAAATAGAGCGAGTCAATGTGCACAAATCAACATAAAAGGGGTGCGGTCTCAATAACCATATCAACCCGATGTTGTAATGAAATAGTTTAGTCTAACTTGACCTAAGTTTAACTACCTAAAAAAAAGGAAACTGGACCTAAGTTGGGGTTTGAGGCTTAGTTCCCTTTGGCTTTCTCTCATCACTCGAGCTTTCCAAACGGTATTCTATGAGTATGATGTTTGAAATTCCACATTGCACCTCAAGATGGCTAACTCGAAACCCATGCCACTAGTCTCCATTGAAGACTGCCACTTCACCTCATCCACTTGGGGTCTCACAACTATTTTCCAAGCATGCAACTTATTAAATGCAAGTCCCTTTTGTAGTAACCATGATGACAATCTTTTTCATCTATTATTCCAATGTGCCTTTGCGCAGGGTGTACGGAGATCACTTGCTTGGAGATGTGAAAAAAGGTTTTGTCCTTGGTACCTCTGTCCCTGATTTACTTAGGTGGTGGTTACTTTTCAGGTTTAAATCACATGGACTTCGTAATATTTGGTCTTCCATCTTTTGCACAGCTATTTGGTTTCTATGGAAAGACCGCAATAGAAGAGTTTTTGAGTCAAGACCCACCAGGAGAGAGCTTATTGTGAAAAGAATTACCCTGCATGTTCAGGCACTAGCAGAAGTTAGGAAATGGTTTTTTCATTTATCAGAAAAGGCCATCATTGGAAACTTTCGGATAACTTAGCAGTAGCAAAGGGCTGAGCCCTTTACTTCGGGAGCATGGTCTTTTCCTGAGACTCATAATTACAAACTCAATATTGATGGCGCTTCTTTGAGAAATCCAGGTTTAGTAGGTGGTGGTGGAGTTATCAGGAACAGTTCGGGTGGTTTTATTGCTGCTTTTACAAAGCATTTTGGTTTTGCTTCTAATAATCATGTAGAATTCTTAACATTTGAGGAAGGAGTTCAATTGGTTATTCAAAGTAATTCCAATCCAGATTGAAAGTGACTCGGCCTTGTTTGTGAACGTCATTCAAAATTGATGCAATGCTCCATGGAGACTAGAGACGATTGTAGACAATTGTTGCACCAGACTGTCTTCTCATCAAACGTCCATCACCCATGTTTTTCGTGAGGCTAACATAGTTGTTGATGCCCTAGCTAAGAGGGCAGCTACTGGCCCCGCTGCTACTGTTTGGCGCCATAGATCATCAGATTTTCTTTCCTCTCATTTATTACATGATTTGGTGCAAGTGCCCTACCATAGGGTTGTATCTTAATTGTTTTTCTCTGCGTTTTATTAATGAAAAACGGGTAGGGGGCCTTCTCCCCCACTGACTTACCAAAAAAAAAAGTTCATCTCTCCTAGCCCCCTTAGGACATATACAACCAACAATGATTTCAGCTATGCGACTCAGTTTTTGATAATATATCTGAAAAAGGAGAACTAGGTCTAAGAAGGGAAGAACTTAAACTTTCCTTTAACCCATCCCAAGCCCGCGTGAAGGGGGTGGGTTGTGTTAGGCAGCCAACGTAAAACTTTCCATGATGAGCTAAAAAAGGCGAACTTTTACCAACAAGTTTTAGATGTCTAGAATGCAGGATACCAAGTAATTAGAATAGTAACAACTTATTATGTATGATTTTACAAAATGAAATATCCACATTCAAGATAATCGTAGAGAATTCAATTATTTTGTGATGCACTGTTCAAAATATGCACAAAATCTCTGCATGTTCAATATCATATGTAGCCCGATTGACCAAATGAGTATTTCTTGATGACATGCTCACCAACAATATCTTTCTCAACTAAAACACCAGTGTTTGGAGACATTTTTCAGCACCTTGGATCCCCAATGCGGAATAAAAGGGAAGCCGGTTAATAAAGCCCTGACTTACAGTGGAATTTTCGACAGTCTCAGAATTGCCCCAGAACGGGTGAGGATCTTCCTAAGGACCACAAAACGCCACCTGCCAAGTTTCATCGCAATTCAACATGTCTAAGGCAATGTAGACAAAGAAACAATTTAGGAAAAATTAGCCTCTCGCACCCGAAAATGGATCCTGTAACTCGAACCCCATTTTCGGAGCATCAAATGGCCGTGGCACCACCGCCATTGGATCCGACACGGTCGAAAACCCCAATGGTTCAAGTTTAAGCTTAAACGGAAAGTCCAAGACGAAGTTACAGATGAAAGATTGAAGAGGGGTAGGCCGCACGCTATTCTTGTGCGCCCTCCCTGCACCAGCCTCCATTATAGGGGACTGGTTTTCACTGTAACGACCAGTAACTTTTGGGACTCGTATCTCCCTCCTTATGAGTCGAATCACGCTCAAATTTTGCGATCGTGTTTGTCTCGTCAAGACGAGTGTTTTGATATGTGGCACATCCCGTGACGATGTCCGAGCAGGGAGAAAAGCTAGAGAGAAGATGAAGATTCGAGAATAAGAGTTGCAGAAAATCAGCAGTAGCACGTCTCATTCAAGTGGTCATATCACGGCGCTCGCACACCCGATCGCTGCGAAACCAATTGCATTACGTGCGTAAGGTCCAAGGCTACCACTGGTCGAAATCCCGTGCGTGATGAACGGTTAGATTTCGCATACGACGACGTTAAAGTTGTTGCAGAATTCTGGCCGCCGAAATCCAAATTCCGGCCAAAAAACTAAAATTGTAAAATCTTTGTTCAGGCACAAAATCGAGCTGCGTTTGTTGCAACGCGATCGCGACGGCATGCTCAGTGCAATTTAGCAAAGAAACTAAGGAAATATATCAAGAAATGAGCACACTATCAATCGAACGTTTTTAAGTTTCGTACAAATTTCAAGTTGCATGATCATGGCTTAAATATGTGATTCAAGGCTCGAAGTTAGTATCAAATTGATTGTCATGCCGAGCCCAACGAGAAAGTAATCATCTTTTAGCCATGCGGGCACCAAAGCAACCCCAAATCATCCTAAGAAAATCGAACACGTTCCACGGTTGCAGCAGGGACTGTTTTGAAATTTTGTATATTGTTGGGTGGGGGCAAAACCGTAATTTTGCACCCATTTTTAGATTTTATTCCAATTCAAATAAATTGTATTTTTTAGCAATTAGGGTAAGTTTTGGGCATCCACCCATGTTTTTGGCCCAACTTTATAAATACATGTTATATCTCATTGTTTCTGTATAAATACATGTTATATCTCTCCTTCTCTCTGTCTCTCGTTTCTGCCATTTTTCCCTCTCTTTATCTCTCTTCCCCTCTCTGTCTCTCACTTTTTTTCTCTCTTTCTCTCTCTTCATCTCTCTCTCAACATACACGGCCATAAGTATCGTCGTGCATGTTTCTCCCTTTCCTAATCTTCTCTCCTCTCTTTCCTAATCTCTACTTTCTATCTCTCTTCTTCCCTAATCCCTCTCTTTCCTTCTTGTCTCTCTCTACTCTCTCCCTCTCTCTTCTTTCTTTTTCTTCACTCTCTCCTATTCTTACTCTCTCTATTCTTTCTTTTCTCTCTCCTCCCCAGTCATGCGCGATGGTACTCATCACCGAGCATGACATTCTCCTTCTCTTCTGATCTCCTAGAATGAACACAGTGAGCTAGGCCCTAACCCGAGTGGCGGGCCGGGCCTCTGTCTAAGTTCCTCATTCCCCATGTTGTGCACGGTGATGCTCATTACCGCGCATGATATTTCTTCTCTTATCCTCTGACAAAGGCACAGAGCCAAGCCCTTTTCGAGGTGGCGGGCCAGGTCGTGTCCAAGTCTCTTTTGACACGCACGACGATGCCTATAGCCGATTGTGTCCATTCTTTTCTCTCTCCTATCTCTTTCTCCTCTGTCATGGACAGCAGAACCCATCACCGTCCATGTTCTCTCTTACTCTTTCTCTTCTGTCATGGACGGCGGAACCCATCGTCGTCCATGTTTCTTCGCCCCTTCCCTTCTTCCTCTCTCTCTTTTGTCTTCTCTCTTAATCTCTCTTCTTTTTCTCTCTTATGTCTTCTCTCTTATCTCTCCACTCTTCCTCTTCTTTCTTTTCTTTCTTCTCTCTTATCTTTCCTCTCTCTTCTTTTCTCTTCTCCTTCTCTCTTCTTCTATCTCTCTTTTCCTCTCTCTCTCTCTGCTTTCTTCCTTCTCTCTCACTGTTCTTCTCTTACTCCTTCCTCTCTTCTCTTTTCTCCCTCTCTTTCTTCTCTCTCTTCTTTCTTCTTCCTCTCTCGTTTGACCAAGGGATATGCTAAGTCTAACACTGTCATGATAGTCTTATCGTCGAGCAGTTTAGCGATCGTGCCCGTCTTGCTGCCACATTAGACTAGCCATCGTGCCAAGCTGGTTGGTGTTGGTTTTGTTGTCGAGTAGTTAAGCCGTCGTGCCGGTCTTAGTCACCATGCCCATCTTGCTGCTACACAAAATCAATTACTGTATTGGTCTAGCCATCTAGCCAAACTTCTCTTTCTTCTCTTTTCTTTCCCCGTTCTATTTCTTCCTTCTTTTTCTCTCAATCACCCCAATCTCTATCCTTGTATCTTTGCTTGTTCTTTTGAATGCGCACGCTAGTGTGCATTCGACCAAAGACAAGGTGGGGTCCCTTGGCCCACTTGTCTTGTAAATTAACTATGCGCATGTGATTGCAGAAACAGGAGAGTACAGGTCAAGGGAGGCGATTTCAAACCAGTTGTAGGACTAGGGGGCTTTCCGTCATGATCTAAGAGGGCGCCCACACGAGTCAGCCCGAGCGAGTCACAGACTCAGGTTAGGTGTCTCTCGCCTCACACTAAATTCCTCTCTCACCGATTGGTGTACATGCCCTTGTTCTTAACAAGGTTCCCGAGAGAGCGTCTCAAATCTCGGGTTTTCCTTGAAACCCACAACACGTGCCATCAACTCATCTAGATCCAGGGGCAAGATCGAGGCATCTAACCAACCAGTACTTCCACTTGTCAGTTATGTCTTAGCATTCTGAGCAGCAGTGAGAGTGATTTAAGCTGCTTCCAATTTCCAAAAGGGAAAAAAAAATCAAGAGATCTTGAATGATAAGCGTCAGAAAACTATCAGGTTTTAATTCTAGCAAGCATACAAGTAATAACAAATCAGCAAAGAAAGGTAATAGGTACACTTACATCAACATTAAAGACAATAATCTCCCCGGCATGAATAGGATCCTTACTTGCATGTAAGAACAATATATCACCCTAGAACAGAAGTTAACGGTTAGGAAAGAAAGAAGATAAATATAATAACACTAACAAAAATGCTACAAGCAAATGTCATATTGTGAGACAAATCAATTCATAATGTGAGATGTGCCATTATCATGGAAGTCTCTCGCCCCCCCCCCCCATCCCATCTTTTCCATCCCTTTTCTCTTCCACAAGTCTTTTTCAACACCCCCACCACCCCCAACCCACCTCATTTGTGAGAGGCAAGGATCATCGAAGGACCTTTCTCTTGCAAATCTCTCATCCCCGTCAAAGGCAATTCATCCATGGTTGTTAAGATTAAGCAACTCAAGTGATGAGGTGGAAACATCATGGCAAGCCCCCTGTTAGAATGCAATGAAGGGCAGTTCTGTTATTTATGTCTTTTAAGTGGCTTATATATTGTAAGGTCATTTTCTGTAATGTATAAGGGAAAATCTGTCCTTTCTCAAGATGTAACATTATACATGTTGTCATACAAGAATAGGGCATTGCCCTAGTGTGTATTTTCATGGGAGAATAGTGTGTGCCTCTTTTCTCTCATTTGCTATGTTTTTGTTGGTATCAAAGCAAGATTTGAATACACTCTCAATGTCATCGACTTTAATCAAGGTAATTCTTATTTTCTTCTTCTTGACAATTCATTATCTCTCCCTTCTAAACACTAACCTTTCTTTCTTCATCTTTAGCCTCTTCTCATCCTCATCCTCCTTTCTTAAACCCTAATCTTTCTCTCACATATCCTCCATCTTGGGGGCACCCTCTATTCAATATGTTGTTCATGTTATTGTTCATTCTACTGTCCAAGTTTCTGTTCATACTATTGTTCACACTATTGTTCTTTCTTCTAAGCCCCATATTTCAGCCACAAAATCCCTACATATCGTTTGAAATCTATAATACTGCCATTCAAAACCTATTTCTTTCTCTTCAAAAGCAAAAAAAAAAAAATCTCAACTGTTGTTTTCCTTCAGGGTGTTGAAATCTGGTCCAAAAACCAAACTGCTCTTACGCACCAAAACTTAACTGCTGGTTTTTTTTCCCTTCTTCCTTGAAAACTCTTGCTCTCTTGCTATTTCTTATTCTGTGAACGATGGCCTAGCCATCTTCTTCTACTTCTATTAGTCTTCCTAATCCTCAATACATAACTATTAGTCTCAATGCCTCAAACTATTTTACTTGGAAAGGTTTAGTTATAACTTTTGTAAGAGGCCAGCAGGTATTGGGGCACATTGATGGATCATCAAAGCCTTCAATTAAGTTTCTTACAAAAGAAGAGATCAATGAAGATGGAACAACTAAAAAATTTGCCCAAATCTAAATGATAGTTGGGTTCTAAGGACCAAAACCTCATCAGTTGATTTGTTCTATTCTTTTAGAGAAACTTATTCATGAAGTAATTAATTTACCAACTGCTGCAGAATTATGGGAGGCCCCTCATGAGTTATTTTCCCACGCAGTAAAAGCCCTATTATGCATCTTTGAAGTAAGCTTCATGGTTGTAAAAGAAATAACATGTCAGCCTCATAATTCTATAACAAGATAAAAGCCCTATGTGAATAACTTGCTATGGTGCAAGATCTAGAAGTGAAAGAGACAAGGTCTACTATGTTTTGAGAGGTTTAGGGGCAGATTATAAAGTGTTTGTTTCTTCTATGATGAGAAAGACTATAGTTTCCTTGTTTAGTGAATTGTGGCCATTTATTGTTGCAACATGAAGCATTATCCAACCTTAAGCCCTCATTAGACAAGTCTTCTACTACAGATTTTCATCATGCTTAATTGTCAAATACTAATTCAAATATTAATACAGGTCGGAATTCAAATTGCGGTGGAATAGGTAGAAGATATAGAGGCAGAGGACATGGAGGTTGAAGTGGAAGAACTAACTTTCATCCTTATCAAGGTCATGATTTGCTATCTATTCCTTCAACATAATCATCTGTCGCTTCAGATGGTGTGTTGCCAGATATGTGGAAGTATCATACAGCCATTAAGTGCTTTCATTGTATAAATCCTAAGTAGTTGAAAGTCAAGTTGCTTCCCTGGATCATTTCTGGAGACTGGTTGGGTTGTGGATACTGGTGTTGTAAATCATGTTTCAAGTGATAGCCCTATGTTCTCATCCCTAATTCCTTACTCTGATAATGGCTCTATTGTGATTGGTGATGGAACCTCTCTTAGTATCACTCATGCAGAAGTGTAGCAGTTCACTCTTCCTGTGGTCCTATCTATTTATCTAACATTTTCTTTGCTCCTAAAATGTGTCGAAATCTTATTTAAGTTTTTCAATTAACCTGATAAAATTCCATATCCTGTGTATTTAACCCTGATTTTGTTTTTTTTTTTTTGTTTTTTCCAAGAAACAACAATCAAGGATGAGGTGCGCTAAAGGCTCTTGTCAGCAACATCTTTATAATTATCGATTATCATGTCACGAAGAAGGCCCCAATGTTTTTTTGAGAATAAGAAGGCCCCAATGGTTTTTTTTGAGAATAAGAAAGCCCCAATGTTCGATTATCAGTCTTCTTTATTTGGATCTCCATACCAGGTTAAATATGTGGATGACTTCTCTCATTTCAACTGGATATTCTTTCTTAAGAAGAAACCTGATGTGTTTCACGTTTTTATGAAAATCAAAAGCTTTGTTGGAACACACTTCCAAATAGTTTACTTTCATAGTGATGGAGGGGGAGAGTTTTTTATACTATGTTAAATATGTGGATGAGTTCTCTCATTTAACCTGGATATTCTTTCTTAAGAAGAAACCTGATGTGTTTCACGTTTTTATGAAATTCAAAAACTTTGTTGGAAAGCACTTCCAAATAGTCTACTTTCATAGTGATGGAGGGGGAGAGTTTTCATCCCATAACTTTAGAACCTATCTGGAGAATAATGGGATGAAATAATAAATACCATGCGCACATACACCTGACCAAAATGGGTTAACGGAGAGAAAATGTAGGCATATCAATGAAGTTGCATTGGTCCATGATGTTATTAGTGGAGTTCCTATATTTTTATGGACAGAAGCATTTCATACAACAACTTATCTCATCAATAGGTTGCCTACAGATGTTCTACATGGAAAATCACCTTATCAAGATCTACTTGGGAAGGATCTTGATTGATTATTCCAAGCTGCACTCGTTTGGATGTTATGCTTATGTTCATATTGAAAAGCGCTAGAGAGAAAAGTTATTCCCCAATGAGAGAAGTTTGTGTTTTTATAGATTAATTTGATAGATACAAGGGAAACAGGTGCTTAAGAGTCCTAGATTGAAAAGAATTCTTGATATCTTATCTGAGCCCCAACTACAAGTGAGGTCCGGCCTTCTGGTATTTCCTTTCATTTCCAATCTTATTTTATTTATTTCTTGACATAATTTGCTCTTCTTTCTTCTAAAACAGTTGCAAAATTATTTCTATTGCATTCCTACTGATTCAAAAACTCCTATGGTTTACGCAAATATGAGTCAGCCACTAGTCGACAATCTATGAGAAAGAAGCCTATTCTGAAGGCGATTTCTCTTAGAATTCCAATTTGCCAGGATCCACCTCTTTCAATAATAAATTTAACAAATTTGCTTACAGATCGGGACGGAAGGGACTTTAAATAGTTTGTTTCATCCCAGACTTCATGTGTAAGCAATGCCAAAGCTGGATGAGATCATCCCCGAGCTTAAAGCAAAGGAAGATAAAAATATTTGATAGGAAGAACCCATGCCAAGGGGGAATGCTTATGAAAGACAATCTATATGGGATGCTTATGCTAAATGGGTGCGCAAGAACACCCTGGCTTAGCATCTCCACCTTATGGCCATGGAGGACTCTCATGCCCTCAAGTACGAGCCATTGAAGACCGCAAAAGAAATCCAAGAAAACTCTAGGCGGATTATGCAACTCCTTCCCTTACTAAATGAAGTGATGAACCATGATGACGAAACAATACTCAAATTTAAGGATGAAAGGATGAGGAAAGATTACCGAACACATTCGAACTTTTAGAGCCCTGATATGAGAACCTGACGCTGCCCTGATAAAGCCAAATGAAAATGTGCAAGTGTGTCACTTGCTGAATTCCGTGCCAAACTCATGGGAAGCCTTCATTTCAACCCTCACTACACTGGATAGCACACCAAAGCTGGATGAGATCACCATTAAGCTAAAAGCCGAAGAAGAAAGGAGAACCACTCATGATACTCCAATTGTGAATGAATCTGTGAACCTAGTAAATCTGAAACACAACTCTGGTTCATCCAGTTGGGGTTATGTGGTTGTTTAAAGGCCGTATGAGAGCTAATAAATGTTTATATAGTGATGTGAATAACTCCAGTTGGAGTAAGGTCTCATGGAACCAAAGGAGGCATTTTGATGCCATGACTCATCTGGGCTTGACGAGGTAGGCCCGGGTTGATGTCTAAAATCCTTTAGCCCAAGTTGAAGGTTTGTAGGGTTATCCCTTGATGGGCTCGGAGGATGCTCACAGTGGTTGGCCAAGGGAATTCACAACCCTTTTATACAGTTAGCAACCTTGAAAGAACAAAGGCCAAATCCTCATCACTATCATCGCACATCATGGACATATGATAACCATATTGGGAAGCGACCCATTGGAGTAAGACATGTACATGTGCAGAAGAAATGCCCCTACACTATTGCGATAGTGTGCCTAAGTCCTATGGGACCTAGCTTGTTGGGGATCTGTAATCCATGGACTAGAACCGTGTTCTCTTATTTATTGGTTGACTTTGATGGACCAATTATAAACTCCTACGATGAGCAGTGGGTGGGTTCCATTGGGTCAATCTGCGAATATGACTATAGTTCACCATTGCTAGTACAAATGGAGTGCCTTAGTAAATTAGCATGATCCTTGCCCGATGGATCCAATTCCCCTTAAATTTTATTTAAATATATTCTATTTGAATTATAAAACATCAAAATGAATTTTTAAAATGCTTTGCATATTTTGTTTTCTCAAAATTAATATT